AGATAGGCCCAACTTCCGAGAAAATATTTTCTCAAATATTTTCTCTTTTCCCCCATTGTTTTCTTAACTAATTAGCCAAATAGTAAGTGCGCAGTTTCCAGTTTCTTCAGAATTCAGGCCAATGGGAAATACTAGTACCAGCCTGAAAGCTGTTTACCATAGGAAAAGGAGACCAGTTCTAAGGGATAGGACAACAGTAAGCCAGGTTTGATCTGCGGGGTCCTGGTGTACATGGCTGTGCATGAGATTTCAGGGTCAGCTTCTCCTCTTGACTCAGACCATTTCTGGACCCAGTGAGCAAGGAGTATGTTTGGTCGTGCTTTACTTCAGACAAGAAAGGACTGTTTCCCTTTTGATCACACAGACTAGAATAATGATAACTAAAGATAAATAAAGATAAGTAATGATAAATAAAGAGAGCAAATTAAGACTGATCAGAAAGATCTAATTATGTAATATTTCATGGATAATACAATAAGCAAGTTAAGGATGAACACACCAAAGGTGTGGATTCAGTTTGGATACAGTGACTAAAAATGGCCTTGAACTCATAACTTACCTCCCAGTCAGCAACCAAATGATGAGCACTGCATGAATATGCAGAGGAAATATGGCATAAGGGGATTCAGCCATGCGAACTCGCTTACGCATACTTGAAAACTGTTTGAGAACAATGACAGCACTGAAACTCGTTTCTGACCTGAGAAGCCAAACATGAAATCAAAGCATCTGACAAAGGAACGGCTGCATTCACGTCACACAAAAGCAGGATTAGTTTAGAAATACTAACAGATCTTTAACTGCCAAGCCTAAATCAACACCTACTTCTCTGAGCACTAGCACAAACAAATCTTGGTTTCTTATCAGTTTACGTCCCACAGCTGATTAGCTTCGGTGTCTACACAGGTGAGAGCTGATGCTGCAGTGCCTGTGCAGTCACAGCTGCTCTCACGTATCTATAGTCTCCGGTGCTGAAAAGTGTCAGTTTCCGTGGGAGCCTCATTCTCTGTAGGAACATTAACAAGGCCATCAGATTTTTTAAAAACACCACTTAGGGCAGCGTGACACAATGGTGTCACCTATGTCTTGTTCCCAGAAACGTAAGAATAAGCCTCGTTTGTTACAGGAAGGTTTTTTGTTTGTTTGTTTGTTTGTTTGTTTGTTTTTTAAGTTTCTTCAAGATAAATGTATGGCTGTGCTTCCTTTCAGAACTTCAGCACTCTATGCTTTTGGTAACTGTCCCCGCAACCAGGAACAAAGTGTCTTTTCGGTTTTACCCCAAGTGTCTTTTTGGCATTAATTGTCACAGAAGTGATGTCTGATGCAGCAGATCAAGATTCCTGCAATTCCTGCAGATAATTACTGCCTCTTAAGTGGCGTAGCACAACTGCCTTTTGACATGCTTGCCTCTGTGGTAAAAAAAAATCACCACACTTGGGAGAATATTAGAGCCAAAGGACGAAGTTAGACAATCTGAAATAGACTAGGGGCTACAGTCTGCAGTGAAACAAACTTGAAATGCGCTAAAAAAAATTACAAAGAATCAACTGTAATTTAATCATTACCAGTACTAACCGCTTTGGAAAGAGCACTAAAATAGAAATGAGTTATGTGCTTGTAGGAATTTATTAATCTGGAGGAACAGAAGAGCCAACTGCTACTGAATTATAAACCCATGTAATTAAAGTGTCATATGTTCTAAGTGTTTAGTTTTAGGGTTTATAATCATTTTGGGGTTGGCTTTTAATTAATCAATATATACAGATAAGTGAGTCCAGCTGAACGGAAGAGAATTCGTCCTCATATTTCTTTCTCAAGATGCCTATAACCACAATAACAAGCTTGAGCAAAATGTCTTCCCTGTGTCTGCCTTCCTTCGTGTTACAGCCATTGACTTCAGCCTCCAGTACTTCTGAGCATACATTTTAGCCTCATTCATCTTTATTTAACAGCTAGATTTAAGTATTTTGGTAGCATCAACCTAAACAGATCAAAAAAAAAAAAAAAATGCCAAAAAAGCGTTTCTCATCCTCAGCGTTTCCAGGCAGCACAGCCTGTGATGTCGCAGAGGTACTGCAGGGGCAGAAAGGCAGCGCCCCCAGAGCTCCTCCACGGGATCCTTTCACCCTGACCCGAGAGGCAGGAAGATCTTGCTGGTGGGAGCCACGGAGGCGGTTTTGTTCTGCGCTTATCACAAGTTACTCCGTGCCTGTGCACAAGTTCCTCCACTACTGTTCTCACCAGCATAATTTTGAGCAGCCCTTAGGCCTCTCCCAGTTACATTTTGGCTCACCTCAGGATCAAAGAGAGGAAAATAAATTCCTCTAATCTTTTCATTTTGAATCCCCAGACTGTTGTATCAGAGTCTGGCAAGATGGACTATATTCATATAGTACAGAGCACTACGTGATGAGACTCTGTGTACTGGGTACGTACTGACACAGCTACACAAAGGGATAGGAAATGAAAACCTTCAGCCCAGGATGTTCAGCCTTGGCCTGCAATATTTGGGCATTTAAATAAGAATAACCTGATTTTAACAGGAAAATTAATCTTCAGATCCCGTTGAGTTTGGCAGAATCCATAGCATCCTTAAAAACCTGCTCACCTCTACTGAAATTCTTAATGATGGAAATGGGCACCTAATTTTAGGTCTGTTTTGAAAACATTAGCCCATGGGCTCGATTTTCTGCTCTCCCTGCTATAAATGCTTCAATCGAGTCCATGGAGTCGGTTCCACAGGAAACCTGCCCCGTGACTGGAGAATCAGGCTCTATGGCAGCGTAGGAACAAGGGAATTTTTGTCGTCTTTCTTCGAAACACAGATTGCTGGCCTGGTGCTAAATATTTTGAAGAAAGTAAACAAAAAAATGTAAATGACTAGGTGCTCTGCTGTTAGACCCTGGCATTTGCTGACATACAGAGATTTATATTTTCACATAGTTCCTACCAAAAACCTCCACTGCTCAATTTCACTACCGTTAGGCCCTTTTCAAGCAAAAATATATAGCTATTATCATGTTCTGATCTATTAAATTAACTTCTTGAAATGATTTACATGACTTCTGATATTTTTTCCCCCGTGCTCTTAAATTCCTTCATTTTCCCAGCAGGGCTTTCTCACTGGAGACACAGCCAAGGCTAAGTTGGAGGGAACTATGAGAACAATGGAGCAATCACCGCACTCCTCTCAAAAGGAAAGCTTATGCTCCTTGCCAGAAATCATTTCCTGGACTCCACACTTTGCTGCTAGAGCTTGCTCACATACAGCAGATTCCTTCAGTTGGAAGCAATCCCTGTCCTGTGCTGCTCCTCCAGTTCCTTGATCCCATGGGATGCCCCGTGCCTTCTCCGCTTTTCCAGCAGCAGTGGCAGGTGCTCAGCACTGCTGGGGATGGGATCTCTTCTTCTGCCACCGCTGCAGAGAGCAAGGTCCAACAGTTTGGTCTTTTTTGCCAGCTGAAAGTAAGCCTGCTTTCCGTAATCCCCTTTGGAAACAGTGACTTGTATAATCTCTTCTCTGGAGCACCTCCTAAAACGATGTTTTGTAAACCTCATATGCTTCTTTAGTAACTGCGCCGTGATGCATAGTTAGATACAAGCTCAGAAGGAATGTGGCTGTCTCTCTGAAGGGGTGACTGATGGGAACGGAAACACACAAGTGGTAAGATGAAGGCACGTAAAGGTCCTGCCTTACAGAAAGGCTAAGTTCTATGTAAATGTCAGTGCAGGCAGACAGCTCCTCAGAAAGAGTGCAGCACTTCACCTTCACTGCCTCAGCACTGCACGAATCATGCAGTAATACACTGAAAAGTAAACTACATATTTGGGAATAGATCATGAATTTCTGAAAGAGGGAAATTCTGTTCTACATAAAAGATCTTTTCTTTGGCTGCAATATTCATTCTAGACTGGAAACAGTATTTTTCTTTAATATTTTTTCAAGGGGATTGTGCAAGTTCACTGATGAATGCTAACGTTCCACAATGTTTACCCAGGACTAAACTTGATGGAAACATGAATCAGAAAATTTATAGGTTTCCATAGTAAAACTGAAGTTTGTGTAGCAGCAGCAGCAAGCCCCAGCATTCCCAAACAGAAGCAAGAGAAACGTATTTGCCAAAAGAAACAGCAAAATGTTGTCAGCAGCAGAAGTCTGGGGGAAAGCAGAAGCACAAGAAATGTTTCCAGCCTAAGTCATCTCTCGCCACCCAGCACTGACAGTTTACTCTTGAGCAGGTACATCCAGAGGCTATGCCTCAGCCGCTTGTTTCAGCGATCCGGCAGGAATCCAAGCACCCATTTATATTGTTTCTATTAATTTCAGTGGAAAGTGGGTGAATAACACTTGGAAGGAAGCGTTTGGAGTTTTGCAATGCTGTATTTTCTACTGCTAATGGCTTGATCCATCTTGCAATAATTTCCAGTGCGCTCCTGCGCAAGTAATTGCACTGAGTTAATTGTTGGTGTAGCTCCATTGGGTAGGAGTTCACAAAGTTCAGCCTCTGATGCCAGCCCTGTTTACTTTCCCTCTCGCAGCTCAGCAGCTGGCAGGGCTGCTCCCCGCTCGTGGCTTACCACCCTGCCGCAGGAGCCGGCACTTCCCAGCCCGCTCCTCCGGCTCGGGCAGCTCTCCTCTCCACCAGGACTCACATTCACACCCTTCGCCCTCGCATGACCCCGCTGCTGCAGGCGGCTCATCTGGAGCTTGTACCAGAACTTTTGGCAAGTTTCTCTGCACAGCTCTCTGCCCACTTGCCATCTCGTTCGCCATCTGCCAGGCAGGCTTGTGGACGCATCCAGGCTCAGGCAGTGCTCATCCTCCCCAGCAGGATGATGGCTTGCTGCTGGACGCATCCTCCATCAGATCCTTAACAGGACAGCCTGATGTGCACAGGTGGAGCAGAGCCAGCATCCCTTTAAAATGCCACCTAAAGGTGGTACACCTCACCGTGCCCATAGAGCTGCTCCACCTGTCAGAGAACTGACGCAGTGAGCACATTCACAGCATAAGAATTGCTTCAGCTACACTGGGGAGGATATTGAAATTACAGATGACTTCCTATGCGCATTGTAAATGAAAAGCAGAAGTCCTTTACATAGTGAAGCAATTACCTTGCTGGAACAACAAGTCCAGCCTACAGTTCCACCCAGGCTAAATTAATACCACAGCTCCTATTAGGCTTACGAGAGAGTAGGACAGGAAAGTAGCAGGTTGTTAAATGCAGAGCAGTATTTAATGTACCACACGCGTGGTTTACAAGAGAGGCTGCATATTATTTACCAAAGTAGACAGTGAGTTGGGGTTTATTAGGTAAATGCCAGAGCTATTGCAAAACTGCCATGGCCTGGTTCTAAAAGTGGTAGGTGTGTAGTTATTAGCTAGAGTCCTTGTAATATATTCATGGCCATTCAGTGACATAGCCTGTGTTAATAGTGCAGACTGAATAGAAATGGCTTCAAACAGAAAGGGTTGCACACAGAGTCATCAGGACCTGTTTTTCAGTATAGACATATGAAAATTACTCACAATTAGGTTTCACTGGTTCCCAATTTGGGGATTTTTTTTTTTTCCTTTTATAGATTCCCCCCAGTTCCACTCATTATCTGCTTTCCTGTAGCTGTATAGCCCGTGGTTTAGCTTGCTCCTTGGCAGGGTTGCTCGCGTCAGTTCCCAGCTGCATTCTCTGTGTCCCGGACTTCCTGTGATAAAGAGCAAGCCCACATCACCCCAAGCATAATGTTTGCAAACTTAACTTATTTTGGCTTTACAGTAATCTTCTCAGGAGTCTAACAGTCTCTGGAAATGGAGAGTATAATAGCACCTACAGCAAAAAAAGGGGTGGGGGGGAGGCATGAAAAGCTGGACACTGAAAGGCTTGATTCTACTTTGTGGGGTAAAAAATACATCTGTGCCTGGCAAATGTCATCAATGGTGAAATCTATGGCCCACGTACAAAGGTCAACTCCCCTTCATACAGAAGGAGCTAGGATTTCAGCTTGGGCTGTATTGGGTAGTGCTTTCTTTGCTCCTTTTACACTAGTTAAACTGTAATTGCAATCCTTAGTTGATTTATTCTCATGTTGCATAACATTATTTGAAGTGGAAGGAAAATTGACATTCACTGCAAGGATCTCAAAGGCAATAAAGTACAGCATGTACACTGAAAAAGACTTGCAGTAAGTTCTTAAATTGCTTACCTTTGGATGTCAATTACAACCTGAAAATAAAAGAGATCATGGTATGTATTCATAGTGAAGTCAATGTTTATTTAATTCAGCTATTCATTTATTTTTTAACTGGCAGGACAGTTGGAACATTGTTGCACTATCTTTGCTTATATTGCTTTTGGCTCCTTCTGAATTTCTTGGTTAACTTATTTCCCCTTTAAGTTGCTTAACTGAGTTTCTTTCTTTGCACAAAACATAAGCAGCTTTGCTGCCTCCCCAGCACAGAGCCTGATTGTTCTCCCGCTGACATCAGGGCAGGTCAGCAGTGACCCCACCACGCTCTGCAGAGTCACATCGATGTACAGGTGACGTCAGACATGCAGCAACCAAAGCCCTTGTTCCGAAGTTGATTGGTTTTGCTTAAAAGAGAAAAGATAAGTACAGAACACGTTTGTTTTCCATCTTAACTGAAGTGTCAAATAAGTGCTGCAGTTTTGGCATCTGCTCCATGTGGGATTTGCACACAGGGCTCACGTTGCAGAAAACAGGGCCCTAGTCACAAACATGCTACCAGTCCATGGCCTTGATCTGAAGATCTTTAAGAAAAGGGGAGGGCTTTGCCCCTGTTTGTTTGCTGTCACCGAGACTTTTTTCCACTTCCCGGAGCCGATAGCAAGCCATCACGGGCTCTCAGCAGTGAAGCCCCCCCAACAAACACGTGCTGCATTTAAAGCCCTTCCTCAGCTGCTGCACCGAGTCGGTCGCCCTGCATCCCCGCTGCTTTCAGCTTTTCACTGGGCAAATGAAACACATCACCTCAAGACTTGCAGTCTTTTTTCTTTCCCTTTAAACAAAGAGGTGCATCGCTTGTGAGAGGGACAGGAGGGGGAGCTGGGGAGAGGATACAGGCACTGGGCTGTCCCTGGAGGCTGCTGTGTGCTCCAGCATCGCTGGGACTGCCCCAGCTCAGGGCAGTGCCACCCCAGCACAGCCTCGACTTGTGAAGGCACAAGTGGTGCAGAGTCCCTGTTCTCCCCGGCTCTGGTCTATTGCTGAATCTTAATCCCCTGGTTGCTGTTAGACTTCTGGGTTTACCCCTCTCACATTGATGAGGCAGGACACAGGGCCCTGCCCCAGCGCCAGGCACCCAGCACCCTGTGGGGCCTCCCCCTTGGCCACTCCTCGCACCCAGCGGCCGCTGGCATCTCCCTTCCCCTCCGCAGCTCTCCCATAACAGCCGCCTCCAGCTACACGAGAGGTGCCCCTGAGCTGTACCTGGCAGCAGCTCCGAGCTCTCGGACCACACGGGCTCCCCGGCGCTTTCAGGGCTTCAGCAGGGATTAGGCAGCACTGCTCACGCAAACCAGAGCTGCCCAACCTCGTGGGCACACCTGCCTTCATCCCCAGTGCTACGGGAAAGATTCACGGGTGACATCTGAACCGAAGCATGGGCTTTTTTTTGCATCATTACTCAAGAAGCAGAAGTACCACAGGTGTCAATCAATGCCTTATACACGCATTGCCCAGCCAAGCCCTAACCCAGAATTTGTTCACGAAACATTTGAGCTGCTGCAGCATGTGAAGAAACTGCAGCCTGTGCTAAACAGAAAGCCCAGAGGCTCCCTTGCGCTTCTCTCTGAGGTGGGGAATATGTTTCCAGTAGTGTAGCTACAAGGGGAAAAGCAGGCAAAGGGGAGGTGAAGGAACCAAGCAGAAAACAGCTGGCGCTGCGGGTGGAGACAGACACCCCACCTCGAGGACAATGCAGGCTCGCGGTCCCAGCTGGCGACCCTGCGTTTCTTCCCCCCTTCCATCTGAGGTAACAGCACTCACCTCTGCACAGCAGCAGCGTGGATGTCCCAGCCCACGGGCCGTCTCCGCTGCCATGAATCCAGGCTTAGATTAACTGGAGAACAAGAGGGTGGAGGGAACAGAAAGCGAATGCCCACCTAGCACAGGAGGAAGCTACACCAAAGAGAGCACAATGAGGCAGTGGAAGCCGCTTTGGCTGGCAGCTGCCCCAACGTGTGGCCACACGGGCGGTGGGCACGCTCAGGTCCCCCAGGACAGCCCCAGGACAGGCGACACCGGCCCCCTGCACAGGGTCCTTCCCCGAGACCTTCGAGGAGCTGAAGCCCAGAGGGGAGGGCTGCCAACGTGCAACACTGGCTGCTTTATGTAGGGAGACAAGCAGGGTTTACGTGCTGGGAGACTTTGGGTTTCAGGATTTATTGTGCCACTTGCAGCAGGCATCAGAGACAAAATATTGTGCCCTGGAAAGGCTGGGCAAACACGTACACAAACAGAAAAGGGAGGTGGCTGATGCCCATACTTTAAAAAACAAACAAAACTCATTGATGACTTGCTATCATTACCTTGTCAGCTATTCAGGAAATTTAAAACTCATTTTCATCACCATAAATCACAAATGAAACACACAGCAAGCATTACAAGTGCCAAGTGAGTAGCTATGACTGATGCTTACTCTGTGGTATTTTAAGGTATTGTGGTATTGTCATTGAAAAAAGACAAAACATAAGAAAAACTATTGAGCTCTGTCAGAACGTTGTGTGTAAAAACACAGGCAGGAAGGAAAGGATGTGAGGACTTACTGTAACTGCTGGTGAAAGGCTGCATATTTTCAGTCATTTGTGTTTTTTCCTATGACACACTTGCATGATTTCCCTTCTAGTGGGATAGTTTGAAGAAACACCTTTCCACTCGCTTTTGGCTAAGGAGTAGGCAGTGAAGTATACTTATATTTCCGTGCATGAAAAGAGAGCATTAGAAGTATTTAGAGTATCGGTGTCAGCTGCACTGCTGCCAGTGGCTGTGCGTTGCATCAAATACTCCCCTGCAGAGTATTTTCAACATGTATAAATGCAGAATCAGAATTAGAGGGTTGTTCTTAATTATAATTTGGATTTTCCAAAAATAAACACTATCCTAACCTCACCCATGCTGGCTTCAGTCGCAGGCCTCTTTTTTGGCAGCAGCTCCATCGACTTCACTCACTTTTGGCTGCCTCTGAGGTGGATTTCAACTTCTTTTCAATCCAATCAAAAAAAAAAAATAAAAATAAATAGGAGAACAGTGTTAAAGCACTGTTTTCTAACTTATAAAACATCAGTAAAACTGAAAAATGAATAGCAAAGGCCATAAAGTAGAATGAGGAATACAGAAAATATGTTGTCTGAGAAACAGCCCTTTTCACGTTGCTGCTCCCAGGCCACGTGTGTGTACATTTTTGCAGTAAAACCCCTTGAAAACACTGACTTCTCCATCTTTTCAGATTTCAATTTGTCATCGGGTGTTAGCAGATTATTTAGAGCACAAGCCTTCTAAACAGTCCCTTTGTTTTATATACATTAATTGCTCCTGCTGTCAGCCAGAGGGAGATGTATCACCAGCAGGATAATACATAAAGCTAAGTGCTGTTTTGCCAGGGAGAGCAGGAAAATATTCGGTGATTTTTATGGCACCTTCTCCCTAAGGCCCACAATGCACTTTACAAGTAAGATTGAATTAAGCTTGTCAGCACTCTGTATGGGAGGGAAATATTTCTTTCCCTGTGTCAGAGAAGGGAAACTGAGGCATTAATATTAAGTCCTGAGCACAACATTTAGCTGCATGCTTTCAAGCCCTGGAAACTTTTTACACAATTTAATTAAGCACATCCTCGAGCGCCTTGCTGGAATAGTGCATGAGAAGGACGCTACAGCATGCTGCCATATACCCTGCAGCTGGGAAAACACCCCAGGTTCCCTATCGCTCACCCTCTAGTGACAAGGACTTCTGTTTTAATCCACTGCTGACCCCAGAAACGCAGCTGGAGGCCAGGTGGTTTGGTGCTGAGCATGCTGCATGGCTGCAGCAGGTGGAGGTGAAGCTGCTCCGTGCTGAGCCAGCCCCAGGCCCGGTGGCAGGGCTGGGAGCAGCGGTGTGCCCACTCCCAGCCCCATGGCATTTCTGGGCTGGAGCTGCCAGGACACCCACAGCAAGCCCCTGGCTGTGACCCCCCTGCTCTCTTTCCTAGGGGTCTGATTGCTGTTTGCAGGCAGCCCAGCGGGAGCGAGGTGCTGCAGATTGCAGCTGTGTATTTATTCACAGGAACCAGGACCAGCAATGTTTTTTTTGTTGTTGTTGTTATACCAGGCTGTGAACTGCAGACATGGGGATGGGTGCACCCACGTGGGAAGGAGCTAACTGCTGACCTATGTAGATTGATTTGAGCCAGGAGCATTTCTCTTGCAAGATGTGGCTCCCAAACGAATGCTGAGCTTGAGGAAGGGCACCTCCTGCCAACAGGAGGGCAGCAGAGGAGCACAGATGTGAGCACACTTGCCTGGCCTGAAGGAACACATCCCTGGGCGATGGCTGTGGGTCCCCTCCAGCACCTCAGGCACTGCCATTCGCTTCCTTGTGAGCCAGCACCGACACCCAGACGCTGTGGTCTTGCTTCTGTCCCCTGCTGCAGGTGCCTTCCCGCAAGTCAGTGTTTGCCAAGTGAGGTGCAATGCAAAAACTACATGAAATTAAGAAAGGAACAATCTAAAGCACTTCTAAGGTCAAGTGATTTGAAAAACAAACAAACAAAACAAAACAAAAAACAGGGCTGTATAACTCTGTAGGGATTTTAAATCTGTTTTTAATGCATATGCTCATACTGATGACTCTACACAGCAAGCCTGAGATTGAAACAACCCTTTTCAATTAATATATAATGCATTACTATTAACACCTGCACATCCCCTAATTAAAGGGATAATAGGGAACATACCAGCTCTGTTGGTTGCCGTGAGTGACACGCAGCTGGGAGCTAATTGCCTGGCCTCCCGCAGCAGCAGATGGAGCCGGGGCACAGCCTGACGCAAAGCCCCCCGCTCATAGCCACCTGCCCCGCAGGTGGGCAGGCACAAACCCGGGGGCTTGGGAAAGTACCGCCAGTCCCAGGCCAGTGAGACCCTCGAAACTCAAGGCACTGACTTGTCACAGAAGAATAATTGCAGCCGGTAAATTCGGTGTGTCCGATGTGCCTCGTGGTTCTGGCAGCTCAGGGGTTGCCTGCAACCCTCCCAAGTGAAGGTTGCAGCTCTCAGCTGTGCACTTCTAGTGCTCAGGGCTTTAGGACCAGGCTTGTTTTGTGTGGCTTCTGATGAAGCAGGGGGCAGGCACTCCCGTCAGCCTGAAGGCAGGTGTTCCTGCAAGCATCCCACAAGGATCCACGGAGTGGGGCAGCTCTGGGAATGGACCAGGGGGTGGGCTCAGTCCTGCGTGTTGTAGGATCACTCTTAAGCCAGGCTTACACTTTATATTCTTTAAAAATACCTTTAAATAGAATATATACCCACAATGAGAGATGTAAACACATTGCAAAAGGTTCCATGTCTGAATCGGAGGAGCTTGGACCCTTTCCCGAGCCCCCAGCAGCACAGCCAGCTCCGTGCCCCAGCCAGGCCCAGCCGTGTCCCCACCGCAGGGCTGCCGAGCTCCGGAGGAAGCAGCTGGCATTTTCCAACATGAATCCCAACTCGTTTGCTATTTCCAGTGACTGCTAAGAATATGACAGTTTTTCTCTTACTCATGTGAATCCAACAGCCAGTCTTACACTGCCATAAACAGCACAGAAATGTCTAACCCAGGATTTAGGTTAGAGACAGGAAACCTCTGCTATCCTTTCCCATGTAAAGGAGCTTTTTGGAATGAAAAGCAATTTGAATGTGGCTTTCGAGCCCCATCCTCCAGCCCTGGGTCTGTTATGAGAAGTGTCACAAATGTCACTGAAGTTTGCTTAGAGGGGAATCACTGAAACAGCTTGTTTTGATAACACATTTATAAGGAGCCAGGTCACAGCGCAGGGCTGCTGGCACAGGAGGTTTGCCTCCAGCCGAGGCTTGTCCTTGCTCAGCTGGTTGGAGCCCTTCGGTTCACATGGTGTTATCAGCATTGCTGAACCTGAAGGAGTACTGGTACCAGCAGCTTGGTCTGGCTGCTTCTCACATTTCTGCAAACAATTTAGCATTCTGCCAATGCAGTAAATCAGGAAACCTTGGTTTTCTGCATGTCCCTCTGAACTAGCACTCACCCGACGGCAGCACTTACTCTCGACCCTTAGACCTTTGCAAACCAGTGACCTGCTTGGAGCAGTTCCCAGTGCACCTTTGGATATTTTAATTACTTTCTTTGCTAGTGAAATTGTTTGATAAGTGATTGGGAAAGAATAAAGCAACCATATCCAGACCTATACTAAAACAGCAAACTCCTTTACCATCTCTGAAGCACTGGCTGCTTGGAGACAGTGTAAGGTTTTTGGAGCCCGAGCAGCAACGTGTGCTCATTCCTACACGGAATTTCCATAATTCCTCAATCAATTACCTGGAAAAAGCTGCCATTTTAATCAAAACCCTAAGGGTAGACGAAATCATGAGAAAACACAGGCTTTATTGCAACGGATATTGACTGTAACTCATTAAGATGTTAAGGTATTGACATCCCATTTGATGAGAAAAATGTCTGGTAGCGAGCGTACATAACTGTTACGGAGAGTGCCAGCATCAACACATCATAATGAGTAACTAATGATGTCTGAGGCCTAACTGGGCGATTAAAGCAGCATCCTTTGATCTGTGTCACTGACTTGATTTAATGCCATACCAAGATTGAATCTCTGCGCACCACTGGGGAGATTCAAGTAATTTGAGTAATTTGCTGGCCTTGTCCCTGCATCACCAGGGTGCTTGCAGTGAACTGCAGTGCTCCCGTGACCATTTCTCCCCTCACAGCTCCTGCCACCAGCCCTCAGTGTGCCCTTCAGTCCCTACCCTCACCGAGCAACGCTCCTCTGTCAAGAGGAGCTGACAGGAAGATGCTTTGGTGCCTTTTACCCAAGCCTGCTGTGCTGTGCGTGGTAGGCAGGAGTCACACTATGCAGAACCACAGGATTTGGGGCTTCTGGCACGCGCTGAGCTTTCTGTTCAACCCCTGTGTTTGCCTGGGGTGAGAAAAGCTTCAGTGCTGCTCAGAGCTGCCCCTAAACAAGCCCCTGCTCTCCCCAGAACACACCCAACCCCGCTCACCAGGCACAGGCCCCAGCTGAGGGGAGCTCGGTGGGCTGGGGCAGCCTTTATTGCCCCGGGGCAACCTGAGGCAGGGGGCTGCAGCTGCTGGGAGCTGGGTCACGGACACCCCAGGGCCCCCTCAGTGCATGGGGTCAGGGCAACGAATGACCGAAATGACTCCTGAGAGAAGGAAACGTGGGGCAAGGCCTCGGCCCCAAGGCGCGCTGGGGCTGCTGAGCAAGTCCCTCGGGATGGCTTCTGGTGGGGAGGCGCCTCTGGTTTGGGGAGGGGGCCTGCCCATCTCCCCTCCACGCTTGTGCTTGCCCTGGATGGGGCCTGCTGGTGGTGTGAGGCCCGACCAGAGGCACCCCATGCCTCTCTCAGCGTGGTGGTGCAGCGAAGGCACATAGCAGGGCCATGCAGGGGGTTCCAGAGGGAAAGCACTGTCAGCAGCCTGCGGACCATCCATCCCCATGCAGGCAGCTGATGCCACGATTTATGGGATGAGAATGAAGTTTGAATCCTTCTCTCAGTGCCGCGACCCTGATTTCCACAAAAAGCTGTTAAATTTTGTGGCACTCTGCACTTCATTAGGGGTTGAGGAGGAGGGGGCTCAATGCACTGCTGGATCCCTCGCGGCGGGGCTGCCTCCCGAGGGGCAATCTCTGCGATCAGATCCCTGGGAAAAGACCCCGTGGGATTACAGGGAGCGGAGGCACTAACAACAGTGACAGGAAAGGAACACAATATCCCTTCGAACAATTAAATATTGATCCTGTGGGCCTGAGGCGGACTCCATCACACGAAAGGGAACACCTCGGTGAATTAGTCTGGTGACATCCATACCCTAAGACAGTATAAAGGAAACCGAGATTAGATGCTTCGCTTATTTTCTTCATTTTTTTTTTTCCTCAATTAGAGAGACGCAGGGGATGGGTGCTCGGGGGGCTGTCCCCGCCATGGGTGCCCCCCCCAGTGGCACCGTGAGCACCGCTGTGCTCGGGTGCTGCCCGGTGCCGGCACAAGGAGACACAAAAGGAGGCAAGAGATGGCTAAATTTAAAGTGCTGGAAAATCCAACCTTTTATTTACTACATTTTTGTGACTACATAAACGCTGAAACATTTTAACACTGAAAAGCATGATGACATCATCACTTGCTTTTTTCTTTTTTTTTTTTCTTTTTCCTTTTTTTTTTTTTTTTTTTTTCTTTTTTTTTTTGCTTAGCAAACACAGCAGATGATATTGCACGGCATAAAGTGAGAACAGTAGCAAAGCTTAAAAAAAGTAACGGAAGGAAACCGTAACGCAGTACAGGAGATACTCAGAAACAAAGCAGGATAATGCCTAGTGCACCACACTTGTCGCTACACACAAAAATACAGAAGAAGAAGCGCTTGACTAGGAGAGAGATTGAGGAGATCCCAGCGGCCAACCGCGCCGGGGCGCAGCCAGCGCTGTGAAATGCAGGTGCGACGCCTGAGCCACGGCTGCTTCCTAGCGGCTGAGCTGCGGAGGGGGCTCGGAGCGGGGCCTCGCCTCCCGGGGCTGTGCGGGACCCCCCCCGCCCCTCGCCCCTCGCCCCCCGCTGATTGTCTCGGGCGCCCCCTGCGCGGCGGCGGCTGGCGCGGGCGGGCGGCGGCCGCGGGGGGGCGCGGAGCTGCGCGGGAGGGGGCGGGACCTGGCGGGGGGGGGGCAGGGGACGGGGAGGCCGAGCGGGGGGCGCGGGGTAGCAGCGCCCGGTGCCGCCCGGTGCCGCCCGGTGCCGCCGCTCGCCTGGTCTGCGGCACGGGACCGGCTCCACGCACCGGGAGAAGCCCCCCCCGAGGACAAGGCGGGGGCTGGGGGTCGCGCTTGGGCTCCCCCCTCCGCAGGCAGCGCAGCTCTCACCGCACGGTGCAGTGAAAGCAGGCGTTTAGCCCGTGCTGACCCACGGGGCATCCAGCCATCCTGCATTTCAGAGCGTCTTTGTTGCCCCGTTGCAATGCTTGGAGTATAAAAACGTATCTAGGAAGTGTAACTCCTGACCGAAAGCTCAAACCCTGCCCTTGTCCTTCCCTCCCGCAACCCCTCCGACATCCCCCAACCGAAAACAACGAACACCTGGAGCTGAACTACTGTGCATGGAAAGGAAATATTTACACCCACCACAAACCATGGCAGTACACCACATTCAGCTGAAACAGAATCTATCATTTACGCAAAATAAAACACAGGTGAGTGGCATCCTATTTTCTGTGCCATGATGCCACCGTCAGCTTTGCAGAATTATCATTGTCAGAACTCTTTTTCTTTTCAACTCAAAACTGCTTTTTCCCTCTGGAGCTGACCGGAGGGTGCGGTGGCAGTCCCCACGCGGGACAGGGACATTTCTGCCCATCCACCTGCCACCGCGCACCACGGCTCTGCCGCGGTCCCTGAGCCTGGGCACGTCCTGGGGAGGCTGGTGGCACCTCATGGACCCCTGACCCCTTCCCCCCTTCCCCCCTCCTCGCAGGGCCCGGCACCCGCGGGTGGCAGGGTGGCAGCCTGTGGGCGCTGCCAGCTGGGCTGCCACTGCCCCCTGCCACCCTAGGCTGTCCCCCGGGGAGGGAAAGCCCAGCGGGGGCCGGCCGTGGCCTTCCCACGAGCGGTGCCACCAGCCTCCGGCCAAGCCGCTCTCCTGGGGCGCCCGCCCGCTGCTCGCGCTCCCCGTGCGTATGGCAAAGGAAAACAGAACTCAGCAAAGTCTCTCACAAATGCCAGTGCTTTGAAACATCAAACAACTTGGAAATTCTTTGGATGCGCGGGTCTTACCCGCAAAGGAACCTTTTCTATAAAAAAGACAAATAAATTAAAGGAAAAACGCGCTAATAATGCCTTTCTGCTTTCTAATGACAAAAGCACGACCTTGAAACACTCATTTTGGCATGTACAAGTCTGGGGGAAGGGAGGCCCGGGGGATAACCTGGCAGTGTTTGGAACATGCGTCGAAGTGCATGCCAAGACAAGTCTGAAGATACACCCTGCAGTCAAGAGAAGCACTCTCCTTCAGTTTATCTCAGCATCAAGAATGAAAAGATTGTAACATAAAGCTTTGGCCATTTTTGAATCTACTATATACAATTCGTTTTTAAACTACATAGTCATAAATTAAAGCAGTGATTAAATAAGCGTATACAAAATGTAATTAAATTAAAAATCACAGCACATTATAGAGAAAAAATAGGAACCATTTATCACAGCAGAGAATATTTTTTTTTTTACCCTGTGAAAAGAACATTGACTAGCAAACACAAAGCATCCAAACCGAAACAATAGAAATCAAAGCCATTTTTCCCTTTCTTGCATTCATTGCAAACAGCGATCTTTACCCACTTTGAAATATTCCCAGGAATAAGATCTTCCTTGAGTATATCAGAGAAGTTCTGCCAAAAACAAAAAAAAAAAAAAAAAGGAAAGAAGAAACCCAAACCCAACCACAGCAATAAAAAAGGAACATACAAACAAAACAACCCCTACAAAATAAATAAGAATTATAAAGCTTTTTTTAAGTAACCTTAACAATTATCAAACTAGTAAGTTCTGCCTTATCACATAGACTCTCTATACAACATAACCCTAACGATTTATTACTATGAGGTATTTGGAGGAATTGGTAAAAGCAATGCACGGCCTGTCTGGGCTGAGGGACTCACGCTGCTTGCAGGGGAAGGAGGAAGGAACCTTTGGTTTGTCAGCAAGAAAGTGGAAAAAAACATTTTCCTTTGGTATCAAAGAAAGTTTCATTGCATGGTTGCACGGCAAAAAGCACCACGGTGAAGAATTATTCCTTTTTTCATTAGTGGCCTTTCTAACAGGCTGAGGTATTCAAAGAGTATAAGGTGAGAGATAAAGAGGTCAACAGCGGTTTAACACTTTGGTTCAAGCAAGGCACTCGTCCTAGGAGTTTACAAAGTTTGCAACATGTTTGCCTAGAGCTTTATTATTAGTATCCTTATCATCGTCAGTAGTAGCAGTTGTAGTAAGAGAAGTAAGAATTCGTCAGGTTACCATCATTACTATTAAGGAGAAGACAAGTCTACACACTGAGTGGAGGTGAGGACAGGGTGGGAGGGACAGGGAGGTGGGGAGGAGGAGTTCCCTTTACAGACCGAGGCCGTGCATGAAAAATCTTTGGTATTCTTTGGTATCATCAATGTGATTAAAATCACCAATGGAAATCGAGTGAGGTAGCGTCTTTGGTTCACACTATAAATAGTAGATCTTTACACACTTTTTTTTTTTCTTTTTTTTTTTTCCTTTTTTTTTTTTTTTTTTTTAAACACGTGGAAGTAGCTATTCCTTACCTTTTGCTTCTTTGTCTTTAGCAAATAGTTACCAAATGTATTGTAAAGCTAACCACACCACAATAATAAACCAGAAGGCTAAGCAAAGTCTCAAAATTAGCCTCTGGACCTTTGAATGCACCCAAACGCAGCTGGATAGAAAAGGGTAAGTGCTTTCTCTTTGTTTGCTAAATGCATAGTTTTCATCCTTATGTACAAAGGAGGAGGAAGAGGAGGAGGACAGGAGGAAGAGTAGTAGAAAGAAGGACCGTTCCTCAGGGCTCGAGCGTGGCGTGGCAGCTCGGGCGAGGAGGGCTGTCCCAGGGCTGCGGGAGGCCAGCGGTGCTGCGGGGCCCGGCAGCGGCACCCCTGGCAGCGCCGCCACCACCGCCAGCTCGCTCCAGATGCGGGGCGAGGCCCAGCACCGCTGGCTGCCTTGCTCTTGGTCACCTGGCTTTACCTGAGTAAGGAGAGGAGGACGAGGCCTCCGGGAAGCCACGAGGGGCCGAACCGAGCAGCGCTGCCGGCTGGGAGCCTTTCGTTTTCCCTGGAAAGCTAATGGTGCCTTTTAGGATGGGGATGGATGTGGAAGTTTCACCGCTCAGCCGGCCTCCCCGGGGGCTGTTACGGTCAGCGCGGGCTGCCCTGCGAGCCAAACATGCCCGCGGGGCCACCCATGACTGAAGCCCAGCCTCCCGATGCTCCCAGGCGGTTTCGGGTTCTGCTCCTCTCCTAACTGTTCCTGGCAGATTTTGAGGTCCTTTGGTTTTGGAATCTGAAACTATTTTCCAGTTTGTCAGGAATGAAGTCCCGATCTCACCCAAGTGACCGGGCAGACTAATGCTAAAGTGATGGAGACAGGACTTTCTGCGTGGCGTCGAGCGCAGCGCCAGAGAAGGCGGGCAGCCAGGAGGCCTCAGCAGCGGGCCCGGGCTGCTCGGCACGCTCTGCCCAGGCTCCGGGGCATGGGGCTGGGCAGCGCGCCCGGGGCACGGCAGGAGCCTTCCCGTAGCTGTTTGCTTCATGGTTTGAACTCAATTAAAGAAAAGCGTGTTCTCGGTCTATTTAGAGTATGAGGCGCATATTGCTTAGGGGAAGAGTGGTTTTGTTCTTAATGGCTTAGGAAAAAAAAATAAAAATGTTTAGAGATACTTAAAAGGACATGTAAAAGCAAAAGAAAACACTAGCACTTAAAATCTACAACTTGTGCATCAGTTTTGGTGTGTGTGGATATATGTGTGTGCATGTATACACAGATGCACCCACAGAAAAGTGTGTGTGCCTGTGTGTATACACAGATCTACTCGGGGGCTTGTGTGGGTGGGTGTGTATCAGAGATCCTGAAATTGCATATTGGGTGCAAATTTAATGCTGGTATGAAAGTTCTCTTTGGTTTCAGCAAGTAGTCTCTAAAGACAATACAATGGAAATACTAAAAAATGCGTCAATGTACTTTGAATTTCCCTGCATTTTTAAATTCTCAAGTTTTAAATAAATAAGGCTTTCTTTTCTAAACTATAGGTACGTTACAAAGCAGTGTTTTGCTGGAAAAAACTTAAACATTAGTTACCACTGTCCTTTATCAATCTCACACTAATGAAACTGCATTCATAAGATACTTTATAGGTGAGCTTATTAATATTTGTCAATTATGCCTTGGTGGGAAAGGAACACTAAAAAGAAAGCTCGCTAAAATTTAAGGTAAGCTAGGGGCAGTAAAACATCACAGATTACATTTGAATAGATATTTGCTTTGCCATTCTTAAACTGGGTGTAACATAGAAAAATGGGGAGAAATATCTGTTGCCCAAAACCTTGGTTTTATTTGACTTTATTTTAATAAAGAGATTTTTCAGTTAAATTCTAAACACTTACTGGAAATTAACTGTATACCCTGAAACTTGACTAGACCCTGTCATCTTGGGAAATCAATGGTGCTACAAAGGTGCTCAACTTCGGTGTTGCTAGTATTTGAGCGGGCTTCATCGCCAAAACCTGCATTGTTGATGTTGTCTGGATTCTAGTTTACCTTGAATTTTTTTTTCTCTCTCTCTCTATTTTATTTTATTTTATTTTTTTAAAAAAGGGTGTAAGTAAGATTACCTATTTCTAATCCTTTGGGCCTAACCTGCATATTTGATTACTTTGGAATTCTAACTAATAATATTACTACAGCAATTTGGAACACCGGTTAGAAATCTAACAGGCACATGTATGGTTTTTAAAGTCTATTTTCCCCTTACACTAAAATTTAATATGCAGATGTTGCATGCTTTACGTTTTAGTTTTATCCGGAGTAGGGATGGGATGGTTTATCTTCTAAGGTTCTGTTAGCAACAGAGCAGTAAAAGCTTTTCAACTACAATTTTTAAACTATTTCATGCATTATCCTGATTAACAGATGAGCAAGAAAGAATGCACAGAACAAAAGCTCAGACTGCTGCCCACAGATATGAAGCCATGGAACAACAGGCTGTGCCTTGGTGTCATGGGGACTTTGCTACTGACTTCAGAGGAACCATAATTTGGCTTTCCAAACGCACTCCTGGAGCTCCTGTCGGAGCTGTTCCCACCACCATCACCTTCTGTCCTACTGCTGTTTTCGACGGGAAAAGACCCCGAGCCTTCAAAGCTATCTCTATTCCTTCACCTAGGAAAGTCAATAGGTTAAAAAAATAAAGGGAAAAAAAAAAAAAAAGCAGCAGCTCACTAACGTCAATGAGCATTGATCAGGCACAGGGCCCTGCGGTTTTAGGTTTCCTCAGATTTTCTCATTTGTGTATTGTCTCTTTTGGGCTGGGGCGGCACGTGGGGCAGCACAGGCCGCCTGCTGCCACTGGCACCGGCGATGGATGTGGCCCCCGTCCCCCGGCCCCCTGCCTGCCACTGCCCCACCGCTGCTGGCATTCTTTCTTGCCGATCGTGAAAAGAAACGATAGTGTGGTATTACTAATGGCAAATAACAGTCTTGATTACAAGTTTTTATGTGTTATACAGTTAGATTAGTTTATACCTATAACTCTACATAGTATTTTGTGTAAAAATAGCTTTGGAATATTAAAATCATTGCAATAAAATACCTGCAATATAATTATTAAATGTGTTCTTTGGTAGCTAGTCGATTTTTTATGGATGGAATAGTTTTCCTTTTTTAAATCTGAACATTCCTTAACAAACAAAGAGAATGCACTGGTTTAGGTACCATTCAAAATTTCTTTGCCTAGTTTGAACTTGTTTCCGGGCATCTTGCCGGGGAAGCTCAAACACTGAAACAGCAAAAATCACACTACCGTTCAAATGAATTCAGACGACTCCACGCCTTGCCGGTCGCGCCGCGGCACAACCCTCTCTGCAGACCAGCCCTGACTCAGTCCCTAACCACCGGCGTGTACACAGTACGGATACACTGCACACCTTCATGGCAATCGCTGTGGAAATGAAGAGCCATATCTGAAAAGATGTCCCTTCAATGACAAGAAATCACTATGCTCCAAACCACTAAACAGCCAAGAACGGTGAAGATGATCATGAACGAAGGTGTGAGACCAGTGGTCTGCTTCTCTTCTCTTTGTGTTCCACTTTGTTCATTCCATTTCGCTGTCTTCTTTTGTTTTATTTTTTTGCAAGTCGTCATCCTACTAAAGCGTGTGTCTTAGAACAAAGTCATAATGCAGGTGAAATAAGTCTTTGGTTTCTTTGGACTTATAAATAGCATTTTTTTTTCAAATAGTTCTAAGTATAAACCTGCTATCTTGAGGTCCTGGTCTGTCTTTATTTATTTATTTATTTATTTATTTTTAAAGCTTTTCCACCGAGGTTTAGTTCGTGGTTATTCCTTCATGCTTTGGTACAAGTGCTTGATGAAGAAGATGAGTTGCCTGAATTGGAGCTGCCCTCGTCTTGCCACTTATCCAGACTCCTCCTCCGTGCATTCATGAAAAAGTTGCTGACGGTGCTCAGCTCCAACCCAAGCTGCTGGGAAATGGTGATTTGTAATTCTTTGGACGGACGCTTATTTTCCTTGAATATTGCATGTAGAGTTCGACGCTGGACATCTGTGAAGACCAACCGAGGCTTTTTGGGGGTATTCCCTCTGTCCTTCCCGTGCTCTTGTTCTTTCCTCTTGCACGCTGCAAGAAAAGGGAGCACGGGTTAGAGAGGTCTTGCAAAGGAGTAAGTTACAACTAGGAAAAAAAAGAAACATTCACTTCAGCTTTCACATTTGGAAAAGATGTGTGACACGAGATAACACAGATACAAGTTACATACATATTTCATGGATCCACCAACAGGTACTCACATGAATCCAGGCTGCTGTAAGGTTTGTAAATGAGAAAAACAATTTGACACGGCCTTTCAGCCACCTGACTCTGCAATGGCTACTCTCACCCCTTGCAATGCCCATTTCACATATTTCATAGGCTTCTTGGGGTGAGAAGAGCCAGCCTGGGGGCCTGTTGCATTTGGCTGAGGTCAGCAGGGTGCCTTCGATGCGCTACTTGGGAGAGGGTGCAGGGGGTGCAGAGCGCATTTCTTGTGGGGTGGGTGTAGAGGGTGCTGTGGGACGGGCAGGGAGCTGGCACGGGACAGGCACAAATGTGTCCCTGCGGTTTTGTCACCAGCTCCCTTGCATGGGGACAGCTCCAGGCCTGGCCCTGCTGGGCAGCACCCGCATCTGCATGGTAGGGCAGCCCCTAGGTTTACCACCTTGCTTTAATATGTGAACTAAATGCAAATTCAAAATTTTAAATTTTAATATATTATAAGCTGTCAAAAATGTAAGGAATTTACGTTAGAAAATGCTTTTATCATTGTCTGTTCAGACTCAGAACATGCTGTTACTGAGGCTAAATTTTGAAAATACCCATTAGTGCTGGGAGTTTACATAATGGCCCTACAAGGCTGAGTGGAAATTCACTGCCCTCTTAAATCAGCCTTTCCCACATTTTTTGTCTTCATTATTTGTTGTCAATACATTTCTATATTTGTCTCTTTTTGGCTGAGAAAAAAACAAACCGAGAAAACGGGACCCTGTTACAGTCGTATAGGCCCATATGGTTATGTATTTTGAACAAAACAAACCACGCTTTGCCACACAGAACAAGGGTGTAGTAAATCTTCCCTATTACATTTCACTTCTTTCCTCTCTCTCCCCTCTTCTCCCCCCCAAGCACTGTTCTACCCCACATCACTGCAGCGGCAACCTGAAATCTGCCTTGCAGATCACCTGCTCGGCAGAATCCGTGGGGCTGGAAGCATGGCTCCGAGTCCCCTGACAGCCTTTGACCGCCTGCCAGCTCATATTGTTAGCATTTAGCTAGGATAAAAGGGTTCCTTGGGAGGACAGATTGGTCTGTCTCACTTTCAAAAGAGTCTGAAGTTGTCCGTTTCCTCTTTTTTCCCTCCAACAATGTTCTTTAATGCTGATTTAGAGAGGTATTTCTGAAGAGAATATGGATGTTCTGTCTCTGTGTGTCTAGTCCTGATTTCCGTGGAGATCAGTGCTGGTCATATCAAGTATTTTGTGCAGCATCTCCACCTATCCCATGGATGTTGGAACAAAGACAGCAAATTACTTTACAGAGCTCCTTCCAACATCTTTCATTGCTACCGAGAGCCAGCGTTGGCACGAGGGTTTCATTGCCTGAGGAAAGTATAAAAATAGTCCCCCACCGCTTGTACTTCCAGGAGCAGCAAGCGCACAGGGGCGGCAGCAAGGCTGCGGAGCCGCGAGGCAGCGCTGGGGCTGGGCGGTGCTGGGCGAGGCAGGGCTCACTGCCCGGCCTTCCTGCCCTCTCCACGCAGAAGCTTTTGAAGTGCTCCCTAATGATGAGCATCCCAGCTGCACGCCCCTTCATGAGCAACGACACATCGATCACATGGACTGAGGTGCCAGACTCGTATCTTCTATAGTTATTTTTATCTGGAAAGCTTTGAAGAGTACTTTGAAGATACATCCTGACCTCTGAAATGTGGTATCACTTTTGGGCTGAAAAACAGGTTTCTTCACACGAGCAACCCCTTGTGAAGTTAAGCTGGTGAACACACTGCAGGGATCAGGTCCTGCTGAAATAATTCTGCATCCTGATTAAAGTGAATGTCGATAACTCACAGGTTAAAAATACTATTGCAAGAATAACTCATTAGTTATCAACCAATATTAGAAATGAGAAAACGAGGAGCGCAAGAGATATCAACAGTCTCAACTTTTCATACTCCTAAAAACTTGAGGCTCAGAAATTCCTGTCAGAGCAGCTGCAGGGCTCAGCTTCAGCGACTCTGCCCCTGCTAACAGGGACAAACCAAACCCATGCCACGTTTGCTGTGCCTAACAACTCGTATCTTCACACTGCTTTACGCCTCACTTTTTCAAAGACTGCACGAACTCCGGCCTTCACCTAGATGGACTGTCCAGAGGGGAGATCAACATTTTCCACACAATCCTAACTACACCAGCAGCACGATCCACGTCAGCATTGTGCGCTGCTCCAGCAGGAACCTGCACGTCACAGATCACAGGCGCAGCGGTAAGCACAAGGCTGGTTCAATTAGCTGTGTAAACCTCGGGGGCTTCAATCACAAACGAGTACAAGCGTTCTCTGAAATCACAGAGAATGAAAAAAACAGCCATGTATTGTGAAACTAACTTGCTTATGATGTCTACCAGAGCTTGTGCTCATCTCCTGAAATTTAATGTTCCTGAATAATTGTTTAGCTAGAGAACTTCCCAAGAGTTACCAAATACTTTGTTCCTGAACTTCAGTTGTACCAGAGACCTCAGTTACTGGTAGCAACAGCACAGGGGTAAGAAAAAAAGTCCTCATTGCTGGGGAGAAAAACCAAAATCTATCAATTCTATGATACAAATAAGCCAAGTTTAGTATTTTGAAATTTCCTGGAGATTTTTACTCATCTCCAGTGTGTCCAGCACCTCACTGTGCAGGTGACTGGTGATACCAGACACATCCAGGTGATGGAGTACGCACTGAGTGGTTGAAACCCTGACTCCACTTTCCTACTGGTTGTCTGCCAGCTGATGAAGAGGAGAGGGGGACCAGACTCAACAGCACCCATGGCAGCATCGGCTGAATCCCTCCGGCTGCCAGCACAATGCCCACAGCCACGTCATGTCTTCAGACACGTAATGCACCGTACTGGGCCACATGAGCACCTGGTTCATCTCAGCCGAGCCCACCAGAGGGCAAGCTTTAGCGTTGCCCAGTTGCTCCCTGGAGGTGCCGACAGGCAGCCACCCACCCCTTCCATCCCTTCCTCCTTCAGCACGGTGGCCTTTTGGTTTCTTAACAAACTGCCACCCGGGATCGTTGGTTTCCTACGGCTCTGGTTTAGCCCAAAGCCTATCAAATAAGAAGTGCTTGTCCTCACGTCTAAGCTGGAGTTCGCCAACTGAGAACCAAGGACTTGGCTCAGGGGTGAGGACCGGCTCTGTGGCAGCTGGGGACCTCGTGTGTGCCATGGGGAGCGCCGCAGCCGGCTGCTGCCTCCCAAGCATGGCACAGCCCCATGCAGACGGAGCGAGGCCACGCTGCGGCAGCAGGGCCTAGCACCTGGCTGCAGCCTGGCCCTGCGCCCTGCTCAGCACTGCCCACAGACCCTTCCTCGTCCCGGGCAGCTGGTGACACCTGCCAAATCTGCAATGCAAAGCTTGTTCCTGTTCCAGCTCCGCTCCTGCTAACGTTCCCGAGCGGCAGACTGAGGGCAAGGCTTCCCGATAGGCATAATTGTTCAAAGAGCTCTTGCAACGGCGCTGCCAGGCCTCCTGCTGTGAGCAGGAAGGGTGGATCCCACCTTTCATCTTCTGCCTTGTCCAGACCCAGGAATATTAATAGCACTTAAAAATAAATAATGGTGATAATGAAAAACCGTAATAGGGTTTCCTGACGATCGTTTTCCCTGCATTGGAGCCAATCAATTTTAATAATAAATCATAGCTTCGAGCCTGCCAGAGAACAAATGTACACCGCGGGATGAAACGCTCCAACGTGAGCGTCTGTCCAGGCGGGCACAGAGGATGGGCAGACACCAGGGCCATCCCCCTTGGTGTCCTGGCCTGCAGCAGGAAAATGGCGGCGCTGGCAGCACCTGGCCTCTGGCCAGGCCCTCCTCTGAGGCAGGCAAGGGTGGTCGCTGAGGCCAGCGGCTTCACAGACACCAAGCGCACCCTGTTTGGGAAAAACTCCAGAGCCTGTCTTTGAAACCACACACCGAGATAAGGATTTTATGTAGCGGAAGATAATAAAAGCAAATTGCGCTGATGTCCTTCACAGGCACCTGCCCTCTCACACAGCACAGAAGCTGAATTCAGGAAGCAGTGCTCCCGGTGGCGCGCACATCTCCACAGCATGGCACGGCTGCACCCTGCTGGCCCCACGCAGCCACCCTGCCCTCTGCCCTGTGCTGTCCCAGCTGAGCGCCGAGCCTTGCCAAAGAGACTTAAGAAAGCCTAGTTAAAACATATCAAAGCAGAGTATAAGGCAAAAGTCACTCTGAGTCTGGCAACACATGTGCAGATATGACAATGTAATATTATCAGTGCCAGAAGGAGCCTTATAAATCCACTGCTGAACTCTGGCCTCTCCCAGCCACTTCCATCTTCCTCTGCCTGGAGCAACAGATATTTTTGACACTCGCAATTCTCCTGATACAGTCCATCAATCTATTTTTGTCTCCCTTTGTTCCCTCTGAGTTGCCCGAGGGATCTGGCTGAGTTAACTTGCCGGGGCTGGCAAGGCCTGTACACCTCCTTATGGCCCAGCTGGTGGTGGGCAGCACAATTCCTGCGGTCTCACCACCGCCGTGGCACTGTTTATCAGCATTTTCCTCCAGTGCGTGGCTGGCCCAACTGCCTATAACACGATAGGACCCATCCTGTGCTTGCAGGGGAGGGGATGATCACAATCCCTATGAAAATGCTCTGACTACATGCTTATGCTGGAAGAGAGATGAGGGTACTTTGCCTGCCTGTGACGTGAACCGCTCTGTTCTGTCCTTCTAAAAGTCCAGACCACAGTAAGTGCAGGTGTTAACCCTGACACCTGATCAAGTCTTTCATCCCTATGGGGTGGATTTCTTTTTAAAATGCCCCTTTCAGGATGGCTTATGAACTTTG